CATTTTGTGCACATGTTTGGGTTGGTAAAACTCAGTCCCAAAATTTGAAGAAGTGCAAATTTTGAAGGGTATTTGTGCTTTGGGTCCATGTATCATTTGGGGAAGTACAAGTTCCTACCCCATTCCTACTCCTACTCCTACTCCTTGTGAGTCAAGGAATGGTATCGTGCTGTAAAGGTAGCTAATCTTTTGTTAAGATCAGGCATAGGCAAACTCGGCCCTCCAGATATTTTGGGACTACAACTCCCATCATCCCTGTCCTGTTAGCTAGGGATGATGGGCGTTGTAGTCCCAAAACATCTGGAGGGCCAAGTTTGCCTATGCCTGGTTAAGATAGTTAGAATAACGCCAAGGAAGATATTTCCAGTCAGCTTATAATCTTTTGCTTTGGGCATGGTTCAGCCAAGATATTCCTGACCACCCCACTCTGAAAAAGCCACTGTATAGCTATGGCCCAAGTCAAATCTTTTAATGAATATTCATATGTGGCAGAGGTTACATTTTCCCCTTCCTGTTGTACCTTGGATTTGTTGTTGACACTCACTTTTTCATTCATTCATTCAATTTGTATGCTGATTTCCCACACAAAAAATCATGTTCAAAGTGTCTTACAACAAAGACCCAGGCAGTGCTGGATTTATGTATAAACTAAACAGGCTATAGCTTAGGGCCCCACTTTCTGCCCCCCCCAAAAAAAATCACTATTAATATACTTCTTCTTAATTGTATTTCAGTTCAACAATTACTTTGATAAAATACATATTTTGTTATGTGCAAATGGCTTTACATACCTTTTAGGTCGATAAATTACCATATAGCATATATTCAACACAAAAACAGTGACAATTTGTTGTTGACAAAGGACAGCTGGACATATAAAGGGCCCCATTACCTTCAGTAGCTTAGGGCCTCATCAAACCTAAATCTGGCCCTGGACCCAGGGATGCATTTCAAACAAAAGCTACAAAAACAATTTCATAATAACATAGGAAAACAAAAATATCACAGCATACAACACACTGGGGTGCCTGCCCCCCCTTCCATCAAATATCAAGGGAGCCAAAGACCCCTTGACCCCTTAGAGTTGACACACCTGTTGTACAATGACTTTGTTAGATACAGCCTGCTGAATACTGATGGGTTTCCCATTAAATAATCCCAATTATGACATAGTTTAACAGAGTTTAGAAGTGTGGCCTCTTGCGTTACTGTTGAAAAAGGAGAAGGTGGGAAACAGTTATTCTGCTAGCATATCCTAAAATCAGGAACCTGTACAATTCACGGCCCATTAAACCAAGCACAGCTCAATGGCACTAGATTGTAGCCTTCTAATCCTTGCGAGAAAAGCAATGACAAACCTAGACAGCATCTTAAAAAGCAGAGACATCACCTTGCCAACAAAGGTCCGTATAGTTAAAGCTATGGTTTTCCCAGTAGTAATGTATGGAAGTGAGAGCTGGACCATAAAGCAGGCTGATCGCCAAAGAACTGATGCTTTTGAATTATGGTGCTGGAGGAGACTCTTGAGAGTCCCATGGACTGCAAGAAGATCAAACGTATCCATTCTTAAGGAAATCAGCCCTGAGTGCTCACTGGAAGGACAGATCGTGAAGCTGAGGCTCCAATACTTTGGCCACCTCATGAGAAGAGAAGACTCCCTGGAAAAGACCCTGATGTTGGGAAAGATGGTGGGCACAAGGAGAAGGGGATGACAGAGGACGAGATGGTTGGGCAGTGTCCTCGAAGCTACCAACATGAGTTTGACCAAACTGCGGGAGGCAGTGGAAGACAGGAGTGCCTGGTGTGCTCTGGTCCATGGGGTCACGAATAGCCGGACACAACTAAACCACTAAACAACAACACAACAACAATCCTTGAGAGCACTACTTTTTCCAGCACATGAAAGCTCCTTATCAATTGTCATTGTGAGGAAGACTTTTACTTTGTTTCAGCAAAGGAATTCCCAGCACATAAGTTGTTGTTTTTAAAACAATAACCCCCCCAAAAAAAATTGAGAGCAGCAGATACCATAAGATGAGGCAGAATAAATGATCTCATCTGTGAGAGGTTTGATGTTGTCTCTCCCCTGATGCTACTGTAGATAAAGTTGTATTAATTGACCACATGGGTTTCTGTGTGCTATTTTCAGATGAATAATGTGCTCCATTTGTATTTGGTTTGCCTAAATTACCAGAGGAGTAACTACTGGAGCCAGGCAATATTGACCCCAATTGTCAGCGAGCATTAAACTTTTTGTCACCTTGACAAATGCCAGGGCAGTCGAAACAGGAAATTGTTCGGCTTCCTTCTCGGCAGTCTCGTGTATCCCACCAACAATAGAGGGATGTGTGTGTTAAAAATGCTGGAGTCTGGGCTGTTGTCAGTGGCTTCTTTCTGTCTTATTGCCCAGCTTCTATCAGTGGTGCGCCTATTATGCAAAATACAAGCACTGTATTGTTCTGCTGTGGTGGTCACACAACAATCGTCACAGTGGTGTTGCCTGATTGCTGCCCAACTCTGCCTTTGTTGCTCAGTATTCCATAGTTTGCCGGATTCAGGCTCCTGTTTGCAGGAGCCGCTAAGCAAGACATTATCCTCATGTGAATACAACTCCATTTTTTAATTTCAGTTTTGCCTTTGCAGAACAAATCCTTTTGACAGTGTTTTCTTGATGGCTAAACTTCCACATTCTGGATGACTGATCCAAAACACATGTCAACTAATATAAGAAAAACCACATTGAAATCCAGCACAGATAGGTATGGGAGCATTAGTAAATATATGCTAAGAAACACACACACACAAACACACACACACACACACACACACACACAACTCAAAGAAGTATATTACACTTGCTGGGCTTTACCGAACGCTCCTTCCCCCCAGATGTCTCGCCAACTGCCACATAGTTCAGGAAGTTGTCCTTCAAAATATTTAAGGTTGCATTTTGCACAATTTCCTCCTTATCTTTCCCCAAGACTTATATTTTAAAATGTCAGTGTGCATATGGGAATGTTTAAGCTCAAGGATGCTGATCCATCAGGAAACTTTTAAAATCTTCTCCAAATAGGTTTATTTTTTTTTTCCTTCACCCTTAATGGATTGTTTCTGTTTCTGTTGTACCTGCCAGTTCGAATGACAGCACTGCCCAGCCACAAGATATGCCCTCATTTTGAAAAGTCAAGGAAAGAGGTGCAGGCTCCTCCAGATTTTTGGTGTTGCTTGGATTTTTTATTTTATTTTTTTTACCCCTAGAGGAAATGCAATCACAGAGCTTCTCTGCAGCATGGAAATCTGCAATCTTCCTCCCAAAGCAGACTAAGTCATGCCTGTTCACTGTATGGCTGAGAGCCCTCCTCAAAAAATAATATTACCCAGGGTGTGGTTGGTGATTCAAAAGGTAACATTCCCAGCACTGAATCAGCACTGAACTGGTGGACAAACAGCCCCAGGAGTCATTGTTGTGCCACAGGAAGTTTTAGCAGATGACATGAAAAGCTGAGCTACTTACTTCATAGCCCAAGAAGCAGGATTGCACAGTTTTAAAGCATTACCTCGAGCTTCCAGATGAATTCCAGATTGTGCAACTCATTCTACCTACCAGTGGCACTCATCCAGCTCTCCATTACTCAGCATGTGCCTTTTCACTGACTTCAGAAGAAACGTAACTGGCCCTTTCCTTTCCCCTCATGTTCCAGTTGGCTAGAGTGTTTATTCACTTCCTCGTCTAAACTGTAGCCCAGGCTGTGAGCTGTTACAAGGCCACCCAAATGTAACCTAGCCAACGCTGCCTTTGTTACACCAAATTCGGAGCATTTGGAATGGAAAAGAAGCATCTACTGTAATTTCAAGTACCTGCAACATCTATATGCAGCTCTAAACAAGATCATTTTATTCATATACACAGATGTAGGCAGTGCCACAACAAAGGCCACTCAGATCATTAGGCTTAAGTGCACCTAACTTGCCCTAGGTGGGATACAGGATCCAGCCACACCCAAAGTTCCCACACTATTCCAGGAAGGGTTTGTGAATATATATTTTTGAGACATACACCGGGGGGGGGGAACTATCAAGTTTTGACAAAATACCTTTGATCATATACAGTTGTACCTCGGTTCTCGAACATCCCGGAACCGATACATTTTGGCTCCCGAACAATCGAAAACCGGAAGTTAGTGTTCTGGTTTTCAAACGTTCTTTTGGAAGCCAAACATCTGCCGGGGCTTCCGCGGCTTCTGATTGGCTGCAGGAGCTTCCTGCAGCCAATCAGAAGCTGTGCTTCGGAAGTCAAACTTTTCGAAGTCAAACAGACTTGCGGAACAGATTCTGTTCAACTTCTGAGTACAACTATACTCCATAGGAGCCAATCAGTGAGGATGATTTGGACACTAACAGCACAATCCTGTGCAACTCTAATCAGAAATCAGACCTACTTGGTTCAATGGGCCTCACTCTCAAGTAAATGGATATAGTGATTCCAGCTTTAATATGCGTAATGAATAACCCAAAAAAGCAATAGATTGTCAGATGGATAGAGTGGACGTGCTTATGCCTTCATAAATAACTCTGACCTCCTCATTTTACAGCTGAAGTGACTCCAGGGCTACTGACATGAGGATAAATTAGCACTGTGTAACTACAGGAATATGCATTTGAATGTAACAAACAAAACTTTTCTATTTATTTTTTGCCACTTTTCACAAAGTTCTTGTAAGAGCTTCTCAATATATTCTCAAGGTGTCAGCTGCTACACACATGAGCATGTTGCATCTTTGGATCTATCGTTAGCCGCATTGTGGTTGTACAATGCTGCTGCTAACTCACATTAAGTTTAGCTTATGGTGAGGTGCAAACACTCTAATGAGACGTATGTTGCCTACTGCATACAGGAATATAGGAATCTGCCTTCTACCGAGTCAGACAATTGGTCCATCTAGCTCAGTACAGTCTCAGCAATGGCTCTCCAGGGTTTCAATCATACTCACAGTCCTACCTGGACATGCCAGGTATTGAACCCAGGACCTTCTGCATGCAAAACAGTTTCTCTGCCACTGAGCCCCAGCCCTTCCCCTGTGACTAGGATGCCATGAGTCAGGAACAGCTACATAATAAAACATGAGGCCAATGAATCATCCCTAAGAGAAGAACTCCATAGTTCTTTATATTTGGACAACACTGTATTATACTGTACACTGATGGAATATGTTGATGTAACCCCTTGGCTGAAACAATAACATGATTTTGAGGCTGTCATCTACCATAACCTATTTCCTTATCCAAAATGATGTGCATTGTAATGTAGGCTGATATAATATTTAGTTCAGTTAAGTAAAAATACCTTGAGGTCCTTGAAGAAGGGGGGGAGGGAGGACAGGGTGTTGACTCAAAGATAAAGCAGCAGAATATGTTGGGAACACTGTTTAGAAACCCAAATTCCATCTCACGGCTGGCTTCCTCCCATTTCACAGAACATTCTCAAACCTCACACGGGTTTGTCTGTGATAGGTATCTCAGGAAATGACCTATTTACTGAGGAAACAGACCAAACCTATGAGAAAATATTTTCTGGACAATCTGGAAGTTCACATTCTGTTATACAAGTGAACATGCAAATGGTCTGACAAAAGAAAACGTTGCCGTTTGGAAGCACTGGTGTTAATAGGCAAGGGGGAGCCAAGGATTGCTTAGGCAGAGGGAAAGGACTGAGTGGGCAAAGGTGAAAGTGGGAGGATACAGAAGGAGTTTCTGCCTAGTGGTCACTGCCATGACAAGACTTGAAGTTGGACTGGAATAGATCCAAGTTGTCAGCTTCCTCCAAGGATGCCTGAAGCTGGACATATTCTCAATCACTTTGCCCTACCACAGGGCAATATTCTTTTTATCATTTCTAGGTGCAATGAGCTCTTCCTAAGGAGGAGACACATCACTACCTCCTTCAAGGAGGTGGTACTTCCCCCTGCTCCAGTGAAGCATTGATCTCTCCCTGGACCCACACCCTACGGCTTGCTCTAAGAAGCCAAGATAGAGGGCGGATTGTTGTCTGTGATTCCTCAAGCAGCTTGTCCACAACCTCAGGCTGCAATAATCAAAACAGCTCCAGTACAGATGGAACAAGCAGTTCCCTGGATGCCTCCATTGTGGCATCCAACTCTTTCTGAATCTATCTAAATAAATTGGTTGTCTTAAGTCTGGAAGAATTTGATCAAAGGATCAGTGTTGCTACTTCAGATCCTGAGACATCTACCCCCAAAGACTTCATCATGCCAGCCTTTTGGGGGCAGAGGAGACACGGGATTATCTCCCTTAAAGACAATCCAAGAAGAAACATATAATTATGGTAGGAAGTCATTATCCATGTGAAGGAAGCAGTAGATTCTTCTTTCCGCAACCTGTCTCTGCACTGATGCACCTAGCATGTTAACGATTGGCTAATTTAATTGTGTTTAATTCATTCTGGCCTCAGATTTTAAAATCACTGACCACACACACAAATCTGAAACCTAAGCTAGTTGAATGGCTTACATTTTGGTTTATAAAGAAGAGGCACCATGCTTAGAAGACAGCTTGCCAGCTTGACAGAAGTGTGAGGCAGGATAGCTTGAGTTCTGAAGAAATTGTGTTTGGCTGTAAGAAGAAAAAAGAGAGGTATACGCAAGTGGCTAAGATATGTAAATCGTCCAGAAAACATTTGTCATTTTACGGTATATAAATATTGAAAACAAAATAAATGAATATCAAACTTAAATCCTAAATATGTAGTTGGACATCAAAAACTTTCAGACTTACAAATACTTTGAACTCATAAATGCATTTCTTGCTTACATTTATGATGTGGGAATCACTTCCATGTGCTGCAATCCCAAGTCACAGTGGGGCACATATGATTAATGTAACCATATGTGCCTTTCCCATAAGAAGCTGCCAGACCATGGATTCATCTAGGCAAATGTTGTGTGATCTGGTCAATGGTAGGTCTCCAGGGTGTGCTTTTGGTGCCCACCAAGAGGGAGTGAGATGCTTGGTTGAGAAGATCCAAAAGCACACCAGCAACCTTAGCATCACACCAAGCCAAAGTGCTCCCATGCTGGTTTGGAGCACATGTGAAGATCACCCCAATCTACAAATAGCCGAGCTTCAGCTGAAAAGAATGTTATTCCTTTGAACTCCACACAGCAGAAGCTCGTCCTCTGCGTGGGCGAAAGGGTTCTGAATTCTCCGAAAGCGTTCTGAGAAAAATCTCAGCTGCTCCTGTGAGTGACCAATTATATACCTCTTCTCCCTTGTAAAATGGTCGGATGAGGAATGAACGGCTAGCATTTGTCCTACTTCAATGACATATTTAGTACCATGTAAGTTGGGTCAACACTTTGTCTTTGACTAAGAGCAGCTGGAATTTACATGGCCAGCTAGGAGCTGTATCTTGTTGTTTTATTTGTTTATTTAAAATTTGACCTCAGTCTTTGTACTTTGCATGTTTTCTTGACATATCACTAGCATGTCTTCAAAGTTGCCCACTCCCTATAGCTCTACACACACACACACACACACACACACACACACACACTTGCTTCTAGACAGACAGCTGCTGCCACCAGCTTCTATTCCCCATGGCGTCTAGCGTTTTGTCATATTTTGTGATATATATTTTTTTTTAAAAAAATGCTTTAAAAAGTATTTGTCGTATTTGAAAATATTTGCACCACAGATGAGCCACCCAAGGTGCCCAGCAATTAAAACTTCGAGCCGCTAAGCTGTCATAAGCAGTGCCCCCCACATGTGCATCTAATATTCCTAAATCCCTTTTGCAGCTCCAACCACCCTGCACGGTTACAAAACGCTGAGAGCACATTTTACATCTCTTTCCTTTCCCTGCCTTCTGTTGATTTGGATTTATTTGAAAATGTCCCATTTAAAAAAAAACAAAAAACTTTTTTACCTCAGAGCACCACTTGTCCCTTTCTTTCGTCTTTTCAGTGGGCATGATAGCCACTAATGGGATGGCATGGCTCATATAACTTTCCTTGCTGTGTTATTTTATTTACCAGCTCAAAAGCCCCTAACCTCTTAGTCTTTCGAACATCCCTTTAAATGAAAGAGCCCTTGTCTCTCAGGACTCCCTGTCAGCTACGTGGCTTTGCCTCTAAAAGTGGTGCAATCTCTTTAGTCAGTGGCAGAAATCTTTTCTTTAATGACTCTTATGCGCTGCCTGATACAGTTTTCTTAGGCACTAATATTTTAGTGAAGTTTCTCACCAAAATTTAAAAAGGGGAAACTGGTTACCAACACTTTAAAGCTTTTCCTGTCACAGCATTAGCATATACAGAAATGGAGTTGATGTTTTTTTGCGTCTTGAGCAGGGCTAATCTAACCACAGACTCATGCATGTCTATTAAACCAAAACGAAATTGCTTTTTATGGGCAGATTTCAGCGTTCCGATGCATAGGGAGCAATCCTGCTTCTATCACTGAGAGCAGAATCCTTTCCTCTTTGTCTGCCCATCTGTCTCCCTCTAAATATCCCTCTGAGGTTGTCAATTTGCCATTTAAACTACCTCCGTAGAAACAAACCTGGATAGAAAAATTCCCACATGACCTGTAGGGGTTAGCAGGGAAAGTACATTATTGCTTAATGTGAATAAAGGTGAAGCAAAAAGGGAAAAGAAAAAAAGAAAAAGGAGAGCCCATCCTATTTCATTGAACAGCAGGGTTCCCTTGCCTCCCTCCTGATTCCTGGAGTAGAACATTCCCCTCCACCCACATAAATTAAAATGTAACTTTTATTTCACTGCTGTTTAAGAGTTAATGAAAGATTTGCACCTGTACAGCTGTCGTGGGCTGGAATGAACTTGTGGAGCAAATGTACGTGTGTGTGTGTGTGTGTGTGTGTGTGTGTGTGTGTCCCCGGTTCAGACAGTTGTAAATGCCTTGAGTAAAAACACTGAGGACTGCTAATGGATAGGTTTATTTTAAAGCATGCCATCTGCTATCAATCATAGAGAAGTATAGGAAGCAAGTTTGGCTGTGATCCCTTCTTGTGAGCCTGATAAAGATAGGGCTTCGGTACTCTGGAACATTTAGTCCCCAGGAGAATAAAACATCAAACCTACTCAGCAGCTCCACTAACAATAATAAAAATGCCTTTGCCTAAAGGTGACATTCTAAATTTACGATTATTTGTGTCTATAAAGTGTATTCGTTGGCTCCTGACTCATTCTGACTGTCTCACTACAAGAACAATACATTAAGCCTGCCTGAAGTTAATGGAAATCCTATCCTTTTATTAAGCCAACAGCCAGCACCTGAGATGCTCCAGTGCCCTGCAGCATCCCCTCAAGAGGGGTCCTCGTCTGTTTGGAGAGTTAGAGCTCTTCAGAAGACGAAGGCCAAGTGCAATTACACAAGGTAATGAAGAGCGAGGTGGTTTCACGGGGTCATGCTCCTCTCCCTGGAATAACATCTGAATATGTAAATTCATTCAAACACCAGGAATTGCAATGCCCAACTTTTGGGCTAGTTTGGATATTGCGAGGCGACTTAGCAACATTACAGAAGGATGCAAGGTCAAACCTCATGTTCAATGAGCATGTCCTGTCAAATGAGCTAGAAAATGGGAAGCAGAGAGTTGGAAAAGATAGAGGAAGTTGTATACTATGCTGGTGCAACAGAACCTTTTGTAGTCAGCGGATACTAATATGTACTACTATTTTAATATGCTACCAGTATGCTGTGGTGTTGGCATTAGACTATTCCTGTCTCACATAAGTCCTATATCACCTGTAGTGAGAACTGTCTAATAGATTCAGGGTGTGGATCTCACTGATTTTTTAAAAAAATAATTCCTATATTTATTTCATTGGAACAAAAATACGATTAAATCATTTCTTCAGTTTATTTGACAGCTGCAACTCATGTTCAGGGCAGACAGTGTTCTTCAGCAAAATCCATTCACACATCACATTCATCCTTGCACTTTTCCATGTGCAGAAGTTTCCTGCTTTTGCTATCCCATCACCCTGTAGCCCTTTCACAAGTGGCGTGCTGAGCTCCCATGGAAGCTGGG